TATATATATATATATATATATATATATATATATATAATTGTTTCGAGTATATATATATAAAACATATATATATAAACAATACAAATATATACAAACAATATATATATATAATAAATAATATATATATAAACAATACAAATATATATAAAACATATATATATAATATATATATAATAATATATATATAATATATATATAAAACCAACTGACTAATCAGAATTATTTTTTATTTCCTCCATGCTCGCTCGAAACAATTACAACATATTATCATAATAGTATAATAATAATAACCAAACGGATTCCTGGCTGGGCGAAGATAATGAACCACTGAGTGGATTTTCGTGGAAAGGTGGCTCTGAAAGAGACACGACAGGCATATTAATGTGGTCGAAAGTTTTCCGCGGTACTCTGCCGGACGGTGAAAAAGTTGCTGTGATCCTAATGGATACACAAGGTGCTTTCGACAGTCAGTCCACGGTGAAGGACTGTGCGACTGTGTTTGCTCTTAGTACAATGTTGTCATCTGTGCAAATTTATAATCTGTCACAAAACATCCAAGAGGACGATCTTCAGCACTTGCAGCTCTTCACGGAATATGGTAGGCTCGCCTTACAAAAATCCGGGCGCAAACCATTCCAGAAATTGCAATTCTTAGTAAGAGATTGGAGTTATCCGTACGAGGCGGCGTACGGTGCAGAAGGTGGGAAAGAGATATTGAACAGAAGATTAGAAATCTCTGATAAACAGCATCCAGAATTGCAAAGTCTAAGGAAGCATATTAAGTCTTGCTTCTCGGATATATCTTGCTTCCTTATGCCACATCCGGGTCTCAATATTGCCACCAATCCTCACTTCGATGGCAGATTATCGGAAATTCAGCCAGAATTTAAAGAACAGCTTAAAATACTGATACCGATGTTATTAGCGCCAGAGAATTTGGTTACAAAGAAAATCGATGGTCAACTTGTAAAGGCAAGAGATTTACTAGAGTATTTTAAAAGCTATATGAAAATTTATAAAGGAAACGAGCTTCCAGAACCAAAAAGTATGCTGGTGGTAAGTTCTCCTTCATTACTTGTTTATGTAATATATATATATATATAACGACGATTATCGTATCAATGCATTTACACTTGTATATTTTATTTTATTTTTTAGGCAACAGCAGAAGCAAACAATTTATCTGCGGTAACAGAAGCTAGAGAATTTTATATACGACTAATGGAAGATGTTTGTGGATCCAAGAAACCATATTTAACAACAGCGCGTTTAGAAAACGAGCACACGCGTTGTATGGACAAAGCTATGTGCATATTCCAAAATAAAAGGAAAATGGGAGGAGATGCATTTAGTCAAACTTATATGAAAAAATTATGTGAAGTGAGAGTCTATTTGGAATTATATTTATTTATTATCTTTTCTTAATGTTAAAAACGTTAATGCATGATTTACTTTACAGGACATGGACAAAGTGTTCGTTCACTTTAAAGCACAAAATGAAAGCAAAAATGTTTTCAAATCAACACGAACCGCAGGCGTGTATGGCGCAATTGTTGCTATTATGTACTTTTTATCCTCAGTATTTGGCTTTACTGGTTTATACCTGCTAGCAAATATCTGTAACTTCATCATGTGCATCTGTATATTAACTCTCATGTTATTGGCATATATTAGGTACATAAAAATAATTAACTTTTCGATTTTGATTTAATTATAACTATCTTTTATCGATACAGGTACAGTGGTAACTACGATACGCTTGGAGTAGTAATAGATGAAGTGGCTAATACATTATGGAATAATGTAAGTAATGTATATTTATCTACGTATAAATCTAAGTATTTGAATTCTTTCCACTTAATACTAGTAACAGATATCCGTAAAATCTCTATAACCATAAAATTAATAAATTTTATTTATTAATAACGCTAATTCTAAACGCGTTAAAATGATGAGAAGTAATTTGTAAATGAGAAGTATATATAATTAGATATTTTCAATTAATATCCAATTTTGCATTAATGTACTATGCACACATTTAATCATTCATATCACATAGTTATGTCACATGAATAGAAGTTGATATAATTTCTTTTTACAGTTTTGCTACTTAAAATATGTATATCAAAAATTTGCGCTATATCTAACAAAAACCCCATGTATTTAAAATATTACGCACGCTAAAAAGATAGACTTTTTCTTTAACGAAGGTATTGTACTTGTATGTAGCACAGGTATTAACTGGGTGATGTAAATAATTGCTGCTCATCATTTCACCGTATTTTCTGACTCATACCTTCCACATATGATTTCTACAGGTCCAAGATATGGGCGTACTATTCACTGTACTTACACTTGCTGTGGCTGCTGCTTCATCATGGTTTTTAATTTTACGTGATTCCACTTTTCCTTCCCCATCTCGTTTCCTCTCTCCCGTTATTCGTTTTAGTTCTGCAAATGTACCTAATTTTTGGGAACATTTATATTCCATAACAGATGTTTTTTATGCTGCCCCTGAGTTCTTCCACTCTTGTAATTCCATTTTACATCGCTACTTTCCCATTTTTTCAGAATATTTATATCACCTGACAAACATCACTATTAATAATATTTATAAATTATATGATTCTTATTTAAATTTTTACTCTTCCCTATTTTCAGAATATTTACAACAATTTACAAACATTATTTTTAATAACATTTCTAAATTATATGATTCCTATTTAAACTATTATTCCCCACTTTTTTCAGAATATTTGCATTACCTAACAAATGTTACTTTTGACAATACTTCTAAATTGTATAATTATTATCTAGATTATCTATAAATCATTTTATAATATATAATTAAATTGTTCTAGTCATATTTGCACATTTACTATATACATGCATTCATTACTTTTAATATTACATTTTTTACTTATATAAATACTGCCTTTAATATTATGTTACTATTTTTTTTTTCCTCCTTAATGTAAGCTGAATACTAACAGGAGCGATTGTACAAAAGGTATGGGGTTTGCTTATAATTAATATAAAAATAAAAATAATTTTTATTCTTTATTTCAGTTTCAAAAAAATGGTTGTTCTCTCACGCGTAATTCATTTATCAAAGCTATATCATAATTGTAATTAAATAATAATTTTTATCATTAGATGTCATACTATTTTACATTTATGTGCTAAAATATATAATAAATCAATAGTTATTTTATATTAAATTCACATTACTTTGCATGTATTATAAATATATTAAAGAAAATCTACTTTTATTTCTGTTCAGTTAATTAAACCAGTCTATCAACAATTTGTGGAGAAGTCAGTGTCTGTAGCAGTGGCTCAAGCTGCTGAAATGGCTACAAATACAACAATGAATGCCACTGTCACTGCCAATGGCAAGCCTAAACTAACATGATGTTCATTCCCTTTGTGTCCCAATTTCTCAAGCGCATTAGAGATACACATCAATGTATTAAAACCAGTAAGTGACATAACAAAATTTCATTGTTTTGACCATGTAATTTGAGGCCATAAATAGCTTTTTGTTTGTTAAGTCACAAGGAGGAACTGTGCGTTACATATTTTAATTTAAAGTGACTGTGAATGTATATACAATATATATTTTGATTATAATTCCTTACTAGATTGTTGAAAATCATCATTATTAGTATTGTCTATGATGGATATTACATTATTAGAAAAATAAAATTCCATAATTACTGATAAAGATTATAGTTTGGATAGAAGTTATTGTTTTGGGGTTGTTAATGTTTATCACCAATTTTAATTTTTTTTTATATTGAAATATATAGATATATATACATACATACATACATAAAAAAACAAAGTGTAAACAAATTTTTAGAAACAAGTACTTGTACATCTTTTTTTTTTTAAAATATAATATTTAATTTGTATTTAACTACTTAGTTAGGAACATATATTTAAGCGCATTTCAACATCATAAAAAAGGTATTAAAATATTTTTGAAACAAAATTTTAATAAAACACACTTTGTATATTTATGCATTATTCTATGTATATGAACTAACATACTTAAATTATATTTGTGCCAGATTTATTCTACATCAGTTACTATTGTATTGTTTAATTTTTTTAATAAACTGAAGTGTAAATACTATTTCAATGTTTTTCACACTTAATGAATTTTAAATTGATAATATACTTAATTCCAGTGGATTAAACATACTCACACATTATGTAATTTAGCATTAAACAATTTTATCTCAGCTCAATATCTTATAACATAATAACAAAAATAGAAGATTCAAAATTTTTTATACTTTAAGCTTGATTGCATGTTTCAATCTGTAGAAATCTATATTTCTCCTTATAATTTACGATGACAAAAAGGACAAAAGTTTTATTAATGATCACTTTTATTTCAATAAAAAATGGTTTTACACATTCTACAAATATTTCTTAATACATTTATTAAATGTATATATTTAGTATAACATAATATGCAAGTTTTAAAAAATCTATTATCACTTTACTATTACATTTACAAATAACATTTTAACATGGTTCTAATATTATTTTCTGAAAATACCTGTAGATTCAATACTGTTTTATTTAATAAAGCTTTTCAAAAATGAAAATGCAGCATAATAAAAGTGCCAATATATACATAAACTAATTTTTTTAGAGGTATGTATTAATATAGTTTATTATATTCTTATATTTTGTTGAATGATAGGAAAAACTTTGTTCTTCTAACAAATATAAGCTACAAAAAAAGTAAAAGACATGTAAGAATAATTTATTAACAATAATTATAAATATATAGAATTACAAAGTTACATGTTATAACAAATTCTTTTTATTGTAATTTTAAAATAATAAACTACTTGTAATATGTAAATTATTGTAGATAATAAATACTTATTTTTTTTATTTACAAATGAGGAATTTTTATTCAATCCTTCCTTACAGATAAACTCATTAACACCACTTTTCAAGTTTTGAACATTCTTCTCATCATATTCTCAAATTTCTGGTTTGCCTCTTGTAATTTCACATTATATATTGAAAGTTGTTCTTTTATTGTTTGATTATGTGGTTCTAAATTAGCAGCATTTTTTAGATCTGCAACAGCTTTCTCCACATCTTTCAAATTTCCATGCGCCACTCCTCTTCTATATAATGCTTTAACATTGTTAGATTCTTTGTTTAAAATTTTATTACATAAAAATATTGTGTGTTCATAATTTTTGCGATTTAATTGACACCCAGCCATATTGTTATATAGTACAAGTCTCAAGTTGTAAATATTACTTTCTAATGTCTTATCTAATTCTAAATCTTTTATTGGCTCTAACGTTATCAGAATTTTACAAGCTTTGCTAAATCTATGAAATGCATCTACATATCTGCCTTCCTTAAATAAACCTACACCTGCCTCTTTATATTTCAAGGCTACTGAATATTTCTCTTCTGGTGTCCATTCCCAAATTGGCTTGTATGGTTGTACATCATTTAATGTTATCTCAAACTTAATAACTAAGCTATTGTCAATGCCTTCTAACAATACGTCTACTGTAACTAAACTCTTCTCTGAAACCATCATCATTTGTATTGCTCGTTCAATTTGACGATCTATTTCGCAATTCGCTTCACCTATAGTTAGGGTATTTTTGCTTCTGTTATTTAAAATTTCCGAGTTAAATTTGCTTTCCAAATCGTGTACAGATGCGTTGGTGACGTTTATGTTTTCAATAATAACTTCACAAGTAGCGCATTCAGTCGGCTTTTTACAGAAAGTGCCAGGATTTATTATATCTTTCCTCACAATGTTATCTGCCGATTTCCACGTTTGAAGTAACATTTTTTTTACCTAATTACATTAATTTTACCTAATGAATTTTATTGCAACTTTTATCTAAAGAGAGTAACATAAATTTAAATGTCATTTAATTTCATTAACATCAATTTATTAAATTACATACATGTAATTTAATATAAATTATCCATATAATATGTATTATATCGTAATATATATTAACAAATATACGTACTTTTTCATATGTACTGTTATATACTGTTATATACGGAATAAACAACGAGACATCAAATCATCTAACCTTTACGATGACGTAGTTGCGACACGTACTTTTAAAATCTAGATTTAATGCGCAGACGCAAAGTTTATGTTTGTATAAATTTCAAATAAAATTGAGGGAACGAAAGAAATGTTATTAAATACTTAATTAATAAATAATAATAATAATAATAATAATATGATTAACAATAATAATAAAAATAATAATATAATTAATAATAAAATTTAGATTAATATTATGTAAAATACACATATGGAGATTTAACATTTTACAAATTAATTTTTTAAAAAATGAAATATCTTTATGTAAGTAATAGAAACAAAAGAATAAATATTTAAATATATTTTAGTAATCAAATATTTTTGTTTATCTACAAATCTAATATAAACTATCACTAATTACATCCCAAGATATCGATTCTCTTTCAAAGTAATCCTTTTAAATCTCATTTTTATTTTTTTTAAGTAAGATTAAAACTATTTTTAAACAATTCTATGAATATTTTTATATAAAAGAATATCATTTATAGAATAAAAGAAAATAATCTTATAAGTTTTACTAAAATTACATATATTTACATCAGTTTATACATAATTCAATTTAGTCCATTTCTCACTAACTGCCCATAGCCATTTTGCAACTTTATCATTCCTTGCTTCATCTGAAATTTCTGCTATTTTGTTATTACTAAAACCAAAATAAACTGTTAATTATATTATATATATAATTTTATGTATACGTATGTATTTATTTAGCATTAACGCTCCACTAGAATTATGGTTCATCAATTTCAAGGCAAAAATTTTATTCTTCAGTTTCTCAAATTTTTATTTTTATTGCAAAAATTGTCAAATTAGAAACTATAATATTTCAGAATTTTTTCAGATTTTTTTTAATGCACAAAACAACGAATATGTTGAAATGCAAAATAAATGAAAGATTCATAATGCCAATTGTATTAACGAAGAACCATATTGACAGTAGAGGTATAAATTTCTAGTAATTTATTAATATTTTAAATCAACTATAGCAAAATCTGCTAAATCTTACACAAAATATTCGCCAGTCACATTATCTAAAGATGGATCTAATGCAGTAAATAAAACAGGTTGTGCTCCTTTTCTGGGTGTCTTAATAAATATCCATGTCACTGTATCTACAAACCATTTACCTAAACGATTTTGATAAATTCCCATATATCGCATTATTTCTGTTCGTACTATACCAGGATGAACAGCATTTACTGTAACGCCAGTTCCTGTATGATATAAAAAGAATAATGTATCATTAATTGCATTATTTATTCGAAATTAGAAATTAGTTTCTATCAAAAGAACTAAACCTTTTAATTTATTTGCCAATTCTTTTGTAAATAAAATATTAGCTAATTTGCTCTGTGCATATGCTTCACCAGGCTCATAATTTTTGTCACTATTCAAATCATCTAATTTAATTTTACCACGTTTATGTGCACTACTTGAAATATTTACAATCCTTGATGGTGTAGAAACTTTTAAAACATCTAATAACAAATTTGTTAGCAAAAAGTGTCCTATATGATTTACACCAAATTGCATTTCAATTCCTTCTTGCGTATAGTTCTTGGGACATCTCATCACTCCTGCATTATTTATGAGAATATGGAGATTTTTATGCTCTGAAATAAATAATATATATTATACCAGAAATATAATTAAAATTTCATTTCTAATAGTAATGCAGAAAAACAGGTGAACACACACATTTAATATATATCAATTTCATTTTATGCTTTAACATGGAATATGTTGTATACCTTTCTTAAATTGCTCTGCAAAATCCTTAATACTTTTTTGAGATGCTAAATCACATGGTCTACAATAAACATATTTGTTTTTGCTTTCTAGTACTATATCCATACGTGTCTACAAAAAGAAAAAAAGAATAATTAATTTGATAGTTCATTAGTATTAAATAGTAATATACTAATAGCAAAATTAATACACTTTCACACTTTTCCATATTTCTGCAAGCCATTATAATTTTAGCTTCTCGTTTAGCTAAATCACGAACTATCTCTTTACCAATCCCAGTATTTGCTCCTGTTACAATAACCACTTTGTCTGTCATCTTTTGTTCATTGTCATATAAATCTCCACTGAGATAATCTCTGTAAGATAAAGAAATGAATAAAATCAATGAAATATTACTTATGTTTAAATATGATTATTTACATATTGATTGAATTTTGCTAACAAGTAATGACTAGGAAATTACATAATATTGTATTAAAAATGTAACATTTTGAAAAATTTTGAATAGAAAATAATAAAGACATTACTTAAGTATATAACCTGTACCAATAACAGTTAAACCGGCTGAATATATGTAAAAAGGTTTTGAAATAGCCGCAAACATTCTTGTAAATACAATAAAATTATAACAACAATTGACGATAAATTCTTAAAAACAATGAATGAATGGAATATTGTATGATTTCTTTTTATGTAATACAAATTATACACGTGTATTTCGATGTAAACAGAAAAACTGAATTTATAATTCTGCCATGAAACTATTATATAATAGATTTTCGGTAACATTGGTTAAAATATAATATTCCATATATATAACTTTTGTTAATTTA